AAATTGTGTTTCTTACTCAATAATATGGCGAGTTCTAGACTTACTACGATGGTGCTGGGGTCACTGTTGGAGTTTTGGATTATTACTAAATAACTTATGCATATTTTATTTTGTTTTATGTCCTTTTATGAAACCCTCCGTATAGTTTTTGGAAATTATGTTAAAAAAATTTAAAACCAAAACACATTAAATTACTGTTTGGTTAGTGGACAGAGTGTTTTTCTATTCATATATAAAATTATACTTTAAATATAAATTTTATATACTACTTCACATACATTGCTATGATCGGCATTGCCATACAAAGCTCACGTATATCAAAATCATATCCACCATCCACAATTTATTGTTTTTGATAGTTACAAACATTTAGATATTAAGCGATTCACAAAATTCATCGGCAATATTTAGTTAGAGGAGTATGAGAAAACGTGAAATTTGCAAGTTTTCTTATTAATTGGTTTTCATTTGGATAATCGGGAATTAAGAATTTCGCATCTATAAAAGTCCTATAATTACAATATACGAGTAGATACCAACTTAACTTGGCCAATAATTACACAGTAGTGTCCAATAAGGAACACTCTTATTGGAGCGAGCTGGTCTAGTGGTTAGAGCGCGGGACTTCAGTTCCAGAGATCCTGGGTTCAAATCCCGCAAAATCACTAATGGATTTTATATATGTGATAATGCCGTAAACCCTAGATCTAGCCTGAAGTAATGTGAAAAACAATCTTGAGCACGTGCCTAGCGTCCTAGGACCAAAAAATAAGGAAAAAACTTCAAAACTCCCTTTTAAGGGGATACGGCATTTATAAACGTGAAAGAAAGTCAAAGTTTTCATTCCGTAAGGAAAATTAAAATGCAATAGGACACGTCAAAAATGTTCCATTTTAATACATTAATATAAACTTTATTTTTACATATGACCTTCCCCATGATTATAAAATACCAAGAAAACCAACTAATTAGTATGTAAAAGGTCGTGTTTGATAAATAAAATACAACGAATACTTTGAGTGTTAAATAAAGTGCAAAACTCTATTGACTAAAATGCAATTTTCTAATCAGAACTTCAATGTAATCATACAAAATGTATTACTTAATAACTAACAGGGTTCAACACCTCATACTCCACTATCCACCCCAACACGTCACAAACAACCCTAAACACTTGACTACAACCTCGGCACGAGCTGATTGTGGCATAATGACGTCATGAGCATAACGCTCGCTCCATCGGCTACCTCGCGATGGCATCGTACACCCGAGCCTCGGAGCGAGATAACGTGTATCGATCCAGGGGTCGCGGCCACTGGAGTGAACGTAAGGGCTGATGTCACCGGGGGGGGGGGGAAGGGGGGTGGAACCGAAAATATTACTGATTTACACCCTCGCCGATTAGGATGAGTGACTCACACGTTGACTAAATAACCGGGACATTGGCCTAGTTGTGTTGGGAGGTCTCGAGCGGGTCTCGAGTGCCAATGGGACTCTGGTGAAGACGTAGAAGGCTGTAAAGGAGCAATTGTATATACATGTGCTATTTAACCGAGCTGAGTCTTTATAGTCCTTGGGTGGTTACCAGTAGTGGCGTTCTCGTGGTCCGAAAATGAACCCAACCTTATCTTTTTAATTTTAACAAATGATCATAGTTAATAGAACAACTAAGCTTTTCTTCAGTAACAACGATGCACATTGTATCCACTCCAAGCCTTCCACCTTGTATTCATATTTGGATTAGAATATAGGCCCGTTCACACGGGGCGAGTTTACAAGCTACACGCCAGCGTGTAAGACGCCGGCGAGTTGGCGAGTGTGCTTGTATTCGTTCACACGGAGCTTGTCCACTTGCCAACTCGCAGACGTGTAGAAAGACGCCGGCGAGTCGGCGAGTGCGCTTGTAGTCGTTCACACGGAGCTTGTCCACTCGCCAACTCGCAGACGTGTAGAAAGACGCCGGCGAGTCGGCGAGTGCGCTTGTAGTCGTTCACACGATGCTTTTTCCACTCGCTCAGTAGCAGGCTTGAACCAAATCCTCCAACATCTTTGAGTAACAAGCGCACAAGCACAAGCAACTGTGTTCACACTGGGCTACTTTACACGCCTACTCGCTCAAAAGCTGGCGAGTAAAGTAGCAGCAGAGTCAACTTTTTCCAGAGCTTTTTTACAAGCAGCTTTTGAGCGAGTACGTCGTTCACACTGAGCTATTTTACTAGCTGCGTGTAAAAAATCCGGCTTGTAGCTTGTAAACTCGCCCCGTGTGAACGGGGCTTTAGTACACAAAGTAATTCATCGTCTTAAAGTGATTACTGACAACCTATATATATATGTTTGTTATTTATTTAAATCATTTATGAGTTTTGAAAGTGTGGTTTTTCATTTATAGGTATGGAGGAACAATGCTGCAGGAACAAAATAATTATGCATGTAAACAATTTTCTTTTTGTCTTAGTTTATTGACATTTTCCATACATGTATCATGTCCACGCAATTTCTAGACAAGTTTACTCTACCTAGTTAACTAGGTAATCGAATGGCTATTGTGTTCTGTGTTCGGATGGTGAGCAGAGGGGAGCTGGCTTCTTCCAAGGTTCGACACTGTACTCAGCTGTCCATGATCATTGCGTTTTAATAAATGGTTCTGCCTAATGATAAAACTGGACTTAGCTGGTAACAAAAATATACATAGGTCACCTTATATCATTCTACACGGGGACTGCATTTATTAAAATATGTACACAAAGGAAAGTCACTGTCTTATTTATTTCCAACAATACAAAATATTATTACAAGGTGGAATGAATGATAAATACAGTATAACAGTCTACAATATAAATGTTAACAATAATTAACTATAGGCCTAATTAAACAATCAAATGACTTTTACAGGTGTGGATACGAAACAAACTAGACTAGACGGTTGTCTAGTCTAGTTTGTTTCGTATAAATAAATTAGTGAAGAGGAAACAAGGGCAGGATCAAGAATGTCGTGATAAAAGATGATTGTACAGTATGGACAATAAAAAAAATAACTTCTCAAATATTGTTAATTTGTAAATTGGACGTAACCTTTCACTGGCTTTAAAAAGTAAAACTGATTAACATCCCAATAACAATAGGTGATGGGGTCCAAATGTTCTTCACAAGATCCAACTACTGCAGCACTCTTCGGAATTCAAGGCCAGCACTATAGGACACTATGTGTAGTTTCTCATAAATAATCTTTAACAATCAGAACTTGTCATAGATTATGAACTAGTCTGTTTACTCTAATAAACGGATAAACCAGTTGTACTTTTTAGCAATAAATTAAATATGCCCTTTTTATTTACGATTATAACCTCTAAAATACACAATTACCTAACACATTACGGAGTTTTTTATAAGATAAAATTTAATGAGTTGTTTTAAAAGAGTAAATAAATTTAAAATTATAAAAAAATATTTGAACAATATAAACCATGTATTGATTATATCAATTTCCAATTAAACAAACCATGTTATAAAGAAGCAGTTTAATGTTGTTATTTTTCTTTGTTTTCAGAGCCATACACTGTAGTGGGCGTTGCGCCGGTTTCCTAGTAGTGTAGTGTAGTAGACGCCGTGCGCCTTCAATCAGACACACGCAATATGGGTACAGTCTTCACTTCACAGCTGACACTGGTAAGGCGCGATACTGTACTTAGATGTTTTAAATACATTACATCAATTTTGATTGATTCACATTGTTTTCACCTTCTCATGAGTATTGTATTCAGATTTTAAACTTAAATATAGGCTACTTACTACTTAATGTAATTAATTATAAAAAAAATGAATGTTAAACTACTCTATGTCATAAATCTTGAAGTTTGTTCTAATGTTTCCATAACATTGGCGTTGATTTGATAATTATTTTGTAAAATAATCCGTTTGTTCGTTCACTCAACCAAATTGTATTTTAATAACATTAGTTTATACTTAATCCTTTGGACTGAATAATCTGGAGTTTTGGTAAAATCAAAATATACATAGAAAGGGATTGTTTTAATTTTTCACGCTCATTTATATGCCACATAAGATAAAATGATATACTAGTTATAAAGATCGTCACTAGGAATTTAGAAGATTTGTAGCCTATCCATTGATTTGGAAGATATTAAAATATTTCCGCCTGCCATTATCTCTATATATTCGTAATTAAGTCATGGTCCTTAATGATTGACGTGTTTTTACTGGGTTAGATCCATTCTCAAAGTGGTGCTTACCACTTTACCCAATAGTATTTCAAAGGTTCTGCGATCATTTCATAGACCTATATTTTTGTATTATTTCAGCGGATTTCAATTATTTTAAAATACTCAAGTAACAATAAGTTGTTTTGATATTTTATTTATTTGATAGCAAATGTAAATCTATGTTAATGTGTGTACTTCGCTTGTGAGTTACAAGTTGCACGTTAAATAGAATTGTTGAACAATTACAGATATCAAGGTGGTTCACTAATTCGTTTAATTAGTTTTAAACTGTTCTATACTCCTAGATACTATTTATTTATGGTTATTTAATTAATTATACTTCTATGTATGGTTCTTCTAAAGTTAAAAACTGCTAGACTTTTTATGCCTAGAGTGAAATCCAGAGGTGGAGTCATCAGGGATAATCGCTGTCTCCTTAAAGAACTAATTTTCTGTGGCTTAAACTTTTTTACGATTACTTTTAAAAATTATGTTAATTCCATAGATTTTAATCAGCAAAGTCCACCATTTAGACCTATAAACTTTCAATATACAGCTGATATTAACATGTCCCCTCGGGGCCTGTCCCACCCTCTCTCGGCCGCTCCTCGCCCGCGACTGACCCGCGAATCACAACGCATTATTGCCAGGTGACTGCGTGCGATCTGATTGGTCGCCCCCTCACCGCTGATTGGTCGGTGGGCGTGGTCTGTGCTGGGGAGGGGCGCGCCGAGGGGGAGGGAGGGTACTCGGCACTGTCAAACGCTATCATCGCACGGCTTCAGTCGCCTCGCTACACCGGCTCCGGGTTCGATTCCCGGTCAACTAATTTGATTTAAGTCTGCTCTCTCGCTTCATAGCTCGATTGCCGATGACTCGTGTTGATGTTAACAATAAGTTGATCGGTTTTTAATTGATTGTGTCAGTCTTGGTTGATTCGCGCGTCTTGAGTGGTTTGACGGCATGTCGCAGATCTGAAGGACAACCAACTCCACGTGAGTGAAACAAGCTAATAACACTACGATAAATGTTTAGTCCGTAGATATACTTGTACAGTAATATTATTGAAGGTGTAATTCCTATAACATACCTACATGTAATACCTTAACTTTTTTATATTTAAGATCCCTTATGATTTAAAATGTAAATGTAAAATACAATGTTAATTTGTTGTATTTTTTAAATGCTAAAACCAATTATAATGTTTTTATTGTTGCTAAGTGTGGTGGGCGTTTAAAATATTTTGTCAGGTACTTTGTTTAGTTTTATTTTAGTATCAATTTGTTTATTTCTATTTTCAAATATTGGCTGCACACTGGCTTTTTGCTTGTAGGGACTTTATAATTCTGTATGTCATTATTTTGTTTTATTATTATTTTATTTTTACGTTTTTAAGTTTTGTTTTATTATAAAACTATCTAATGACATACCTGCTCGCAACAGACACCCCTCTCATTTAAGCACATAATATTATCGTTTATTATTTGGGTTATTTTAAGATTATATATAAGCCAGCCGGGTTTCTCTAAGCTACGTGCGATCGTTTAAAATCTTATTTTTAAAATAATAATAGCCTAAGTTAAAATATTAAGTTACAGCTATAATTTTGTCAATTATTTGTCGAATTTATCGATCCGATACTAGAGATGATGTATATCAAGAATATTTTGCCGACGAATTCTTGAAAACCTGGACCAGTTGACTGTACAAGAATAATTAAACTTTGTATAATGTAAACCAAGCTATAAAATAGATAACTCATGCAGCGTTCGGATGAAAATGAAATCATCGCATGGGTTTTAGAAACGGGAGGTCTCGAATGCAGAGAGAGTTTTCAAATTATCTATTTTTAGTGTTATACTACTAGTAGACAAGCGTAGATGGACAGAGTTTAGGCAAGGCTTTGAATTGCTGACTCAAGGCTTTAGCGCATATAACTGATATTTTCGGTTTTTTGGCGGTTTTTCATCTATTTCAGCCTACACCGAGTTCAGCTAGATGTCGGGTAGGTTGGAAAGACGAAAGCCTACAGAAGGGAATGCTATTGATGATATGCGGGATTTGATATCGCGTTCAAACCACTAGAGCCGCCGGGCGCCGGGTTCGGTGCTTGAATGAAGTGGCTATTTAGTGTCTAGTACCTGAGAGGAGCAGAAGTGTGCGTTAGCGTTGCTAAGTGTAGCTATTGTTACAAAATACAAACAGTTGCACACACGTCTTGGCTATGGTTATAACAGCGGGATGAACTATTGCGCGAGGGTTAATCTGAAGCTGGATAGGAGGACGTTTCGACGTTTCTTTCAAAATAGTGCCCTTTTGGTTGACTGTTTGAACTAGCATTGTTAATTATCCCTAAATACCATTATTTATTACCTTTTAACTGTATTTCATATTGAGATGCTAAACAGTTTCAACGTATTGATGTATATATTTATAAATGATATGCCTAATAGATAGTAAAGATTTTCGTTGATCAAATAAGTACTTGTACCGGTACGAATTTATCAAAATGTCCTTTCAAATGTCAAGAATGTGATCTTAAGATCGCTTATATCACTTTGTCTAATAAGTTTTATACTTCAATCAGTGTTATATTTGATTCAATAAAGATATTTGTTCATTTTGAATACAATGTTATAGTTGAGCTTAATTAAATATGTTCTTGGTCTGCAATTGAGTGGTTCTCGTTTGAGATCCGCTTATAATTTACAGTACTCTTGTATTGTATTGGCGAGCTACTTAATTAATTACCATTTATATGTAAACCTAGAGTACCGGTGATGTACCATAAGGTTGCATCTTGGAACATTCATTTATTGTAAATTTTAGCCATAAAGACTCACTCTTACAGTTATTTTATAAAAAATAAAAAAACTTTAATTGGTCATTGGCTGTAAACTAATAATTCGGACCACAGAATCGCCTCTCACTGAGTTTACGCAACTACACAAGTCATCTCGTACTTACGAAAAAATTTAACAAGATGGATAAATAAGAGCTTTATTTCGTTTACAATATAAATTAGTTATGTTGGTAGGCTGTTTAAGATTGAATTTTATTTTATTACTTATTTGCAAATGTATACTTTGGAAACTCATAATATGATTCATATCTCTATATTAATTACAATTATTCTTAGGTGATAGTTTTGTTTACACTCTGTTTATGTGTAACGGTTGTTTTGTCGTTGGACTGAAAGAAATAATTCACATAGTAATCATGTAATGCTATATATAATAACAAGGAGTCTTATTGATTTTGGAAAGATTTGCTTATTTACTGAAAATAAAATAAATTTTACGTATTTTCACATACAATCCGCGTATACGTGGATGATGATCAGTATTACATTAATAATAATAAGCTTTTACATTATATTATCTACAAATGCAAAAAATACGAATTTTATACCTACCCTAAATAACTGAACTTAAATTTTGTGAAGAAGTATTTCGCATTAAAAGTATATTTTATTTTATTTTATTTATTCTTTCAACGGTAACACCATTTTTACATTAGAATATACATTAATAGGATTTAATCACTTCATAAACATAGCATAATTAGGTAATAAATATGAGCAATAATAAGAATAAATTAGAAAGCAGACATGACATGCAAAATACATAACCAGTATAAAAGAAAACAAAAATATATGTGTTACATTTACTGTATTCCGATTAACACAGTATACTCCATCCCAGTATAATATGGCTATTCTAACTGCACTATGTATTTTGATGGTAGGCTTCAGTTTTTGCCATGCAGCCTCCTGGAGGTTTTTGTTGGCCACTTCCCCAGGCAATGATTATCTACTCAACTGGACGTTTGTTTAATTACTTTTGCACCACAGATGAATGTTTTATCAACATTACAAATTTATTGTACAAAGGGCAATCTATTATTTTGATCTCGCAACGTCGATAAATGTTGGTATAATTTTATATATTACTGTACGGCATTTATTTAACGTTACTATATTTTAACAATTCTACTGTACGGATACAAATTTAGGAACAAACCAGTTTAAGTTTTATGAGGTTTGGTAATTAAAAAACTGACCACAGAGAGATGCGTCAATTTAATTGTTTAGGGTTTCCAAGTATTTTTTATTTAATAATCCATGATTTAAGAATTTTGATATAAGTTTATGGGGATATTACAATGTTATTTTTTGATGTATCGATGATAATATTGATAATCTTCATATTTTTCAAATTTTTTTGTGATGTTAACCCTAACCATCAACACTTACTTTATATGTTACTCAATAATGATTTTGCACTCATAAATTATAACTAAAGTAATGAAAAATGTAATATTACGGTTTTAAAGTCCTATAAGTAAAACTGTCGTTATTTAGGAGATGTCAACAGTTATAGTTATTTGTGTCTTAATTCGTCAAAGACATGCGTTATTTAAGATGAAACATATAAATACAGTTTATTTTGACTTAGTTTAACTCAATTTTTCAATCAACAATTGATTGAATTGAGCTTTAAACTAGTTAAACCTTTACATACATAACATCATAAGGTAAATTATAACACGTACGTAAAGTGTACTTATTTCGTATGGTAATCCGAGGAATATTTCAAGTTTATTAGTTTTTGTTTCAGAATGGCTTCTTTTATTCATTTTATATTCATATGTCATTAGCATATTAAATTAGAAAAATGATTTTTTAAAAAAATCAAAAATTAGGGGTAAATTTGAAATCACGAATTACATTGATTTACAGTCTTAATAAATACGTAATAATTGTGCTTTTGCATAGCATCGTCAGAGTAATAGTGTATAAACTAGTATATATAACAGCAACTCTTTTAGCCTTGTAGTGCAGTGCCTTAGCATGTAGACCTTAGGTGTAAGAAGTATTTGATCTTTGTGTTTATGAACGATTGTTTTAATACGTTTTAGTTGGAAAATGCGTACTTTGAATTTTAATTTAAAATAAGAGTGTAATTTATAAAAAAATACCTATATAAGAGTATACTGGAAATGAGGGACTTTTTGTAAAACTTGAAATTTTAAATGTTTATTTATGTTTTATTTTATAAGTAATTTTGTACCCGTCCGCAAGAACGTAATTATGTTCATATGATATATTGGTATTATTAATATCTGATTAATAATACCAATGATAATATCTGATGATAATATCTGATCACATTGACGTGATGTTGTTCAGTGTTCAGTAGCAGGCCGGATCGCAGCTCGCAGCATTGTTGTGTTCATATACCGTTGAAATCGTCCTGACGCGCCGCGCTCGATAGAGACTGCCTAGTAACTTAACTTGATATATTGACTGGAGAAAGTGACATCCTGGTATATTATGATTGTAAAGGGATCTGATTGAAAATAGGTCTCCTTACTCAGTGGTCAGAACTATCTCGGGTTCAAATCTGGCACATTGCCAAAACCTTTTAGCTGATATTACCACGACCCAGTGCTTCAAAGAACGTCTTAACGTAACATTTTATAGGTAGAGAGAAATTCCTCTGTGCAGAGATCCACTAAAGTCACTAGATAAGATAATAATAGAGAAATAACAATATTACTAAGGGAAAGCGTGTTTTATTTTATTGTATCTATAAGAAAGTTGCTTTAGAAGAATGTAGCCTATACAGAATGGAATCTGCAAGTAGACTTTTCATACTATTGTCAAATTAGTAACCAGTTGTGATGCCTAGTTATGTTTTGGTGCAATATGTTGCGTACATTTCTTTCTCTTATATTGGCTAGTACTGTAAAAATGTGCAGTAAATAATTAACTGTGTAGTTTTAATGCCAGAAGACAAACAAACAATGTTTTTAAAAGTATGTACAGTAGTTTTATGTTTAAAAATATAATTTGAAATAGCCTCTGTACAGTTTGTGAATTACTTTTGCAAGAAATAAGTCGTTCATTAAACCACAAGTAGATACATATTTACATGATTTTCACTTTATAAATTTGATAGAAGCATACCTTAAGATTTGTTTCAGCTCTATC